AAGTCTGCTCCAAAGAAATTCTCGTGTATATGCTAAATAATGAATTGAAAGTATCGAAAAAATTATAAATTTGATTTTATATTTAAATTTTTATAGATATATAAGGTATATATAATTAAAAAGAATGTGTGTGTATATAATTCGGAAATTTATGGTCCCTCTGAGAGCAATGTGCCCTGACCTGAGCGCACGCCCCGTTGCCCATGCTCCAAGACCAGCCCTAATCAGGAGCATGCAACCAACTTTAGGTATATACTGTTTGAAAGAAATTGTTTTTTTTTTGCTTTCAAATAAGTTGAAATTAGTGTTTCAATTATATTATGTTTAAATTAAATACTTTAAAAATTAAGAGCCAGTTTGTAACACTGAAATTGATTGAATTGACTGACATTTATGAATTTATGACTGATGTTGATGGATTGGATGAATCATCTGAATTGTGAGTAAAAATGAAATTATATTTTATTCATAAATTTAAGACTTGTATGGATTCAAACTTCTATTCATTCTCAAGGAATTTAAATATCATGAATTGTTTTGTGACTTTTAACTCATTTATAGTATATTAATTACCTATCATTGTCTTCTTTTCTAATCACCAAAGATTTATGTGAACTTTTTCTTTCATCTACTCGTCACATGTGCGCATAGATCCAATCTCAAAAACAAATCAGAATTGATTAATTTGTCACCCCGAGAACACGAACCACACAACTCGTCATGAACTAGTACCAGGTCAAGAGGTGGGTGCCCGGATGGTTCTCTCCGATAAATTTGGGTGCATCGATTGTTTTTATAAAGTTAAAGACTTGAAGTGATGCTTTTATTAGTACATGGGTTTAAGTGATTGATTCAGTAATGGATTAAATATTGAATCCAAAAATCATCAAAATGAGTAATGGAAGAAATAAGGTGACTCGACTCAAACCAGAGGTTCACTCAACCCTGTTTTCGACGATAAGTTATCATTTTTCTGTACTAGATACGGCTCGCCGGAAGTTTTTCGCAAGAACACTATGGCTCTGTTTGCAATCACTTATAATAAGTGATTCTGACTTTTTTTTTAAAGAAAAAAGCATTTATTTACCAAACACTACCAACTTTTCCTTTCTCGGTTTTCGTGTAGAATCTACTTTTTACTTTATCTATTACACAAAAAGCATTTATTTTACCAAACACTACCAACTTTTACTATTAATCACTTTTTTCCAAAAAGTGTTTTTATTTAAACACAAGTGATTGTAAACAGAGCCTATAACAGCTCATCAACAACAACGATTCGTGAGACATGAGGCATCTGGCCATGTGGGATTTCTCATTAACAATTGTCAATTGGAATGGATATTTTGGGATTAATGGAATATATTTACCTAATAACTACCCTAATAGTTGAACTTATTTACTAAAAAACTAAGAAGCAAATAAAAGCTATCTCACCCTACTTTCAACTTATGGCTTAAATATGCTTAAACTTAAGTACAGGTTGCTATTTAAAAACACCATTTTAACCTTTTCCAAAGCCAAAAGCAGCAGAAGTACTTAAAAAAAACTTTTGCAGAACACTCCTCAAGTCTTTGATTAATAGTTTTAGATCATCCGAGCTCTGAATTGATATAATTAACCTTTTGAGTATTTAATTGATTGGTAACATATGATTGTTCATTTTTCTAAAAATAATTGTAATCATGACGGGTAGGTCATAAAGAGGTGAGAGCCACATGTACCATAAATGAATCATCTATAAAAAAAAATAAAAAGGCTGATTGCAATCCTGGGGTGAAAAGGTTATATTTGAGCTTTTGACCCCAAATATGGCTGCAACCGAGCGTATAGCATGGTGCTAAAGTGGCTAAAGAGCACCGGTGGAGTGGATACGTGCTACGTTATTCACGGAAGAGACAAAAGAACAGCAGCTTGGACGTATGGAAAGGAAAGCATGGTCCCATCCAAATTTATAATCCCAATTTTATTTAAAGGATCATAACTTTTTTATTTGTATTCCAATTTTTATAAAAAGTATATTAAAACTCATAACTTTTTATAATCTTTCATATGACACCAATATTGGATATATAAAGTTCAAAAAAAATATGATGTTTCAATTGTTCTAGATTTTTAGATCTAAACTTTTTCTTTAATAGTTTCAAATATTAAAATTAAAATCTCATGGTTAAAATATTTCTTTACAACTTTCTATTATTTTTCTTTAAAAATAGGTCTAAATTAACCACTAAAAAACTAAAGTCCAAATTTATTTATTTATTTACATCGAAATGTTTGACTTTTCAAATTATAATTATTCACAATAAAAAAATTGAATAAAATCTTGATGTGTCATAAAATTAAGGAAAAATTTTGAAAATAATTTTGTTGTGTGAATATATTGACGGTACTGGGTTGTAGTAAAAATTGAATTGACTGAGTGAATACGTATAACAGCTCTCTGTATTTGGGTCTTGGGGTCTTGGTAAATTGAATGACACGTGACTCGAACCCATTGAAAAATGTAGGTATGAGCAATGTTCGATTCCTAATCCGATCAATTGAAAAATCTATCCACTCATATATAGGGGGAGTCCCTATATCGTACACCCGGGTGTACGTACATCCAGCCAAATTATTAAATTTGACTGGTGGGCTCCCAGCGAATCGCGGCCACAAGGAACTGAATTCCTTCACTAAAAAAAATTAAAACCCCAGCGGGATTCGATCCCGTGACATGAAGTAGAATAAGCGGCCTTCCAACCATCTCGCTTACTTGTCTTGTTGAGATAATCAGTTCATTTATTTTACTTATCCTATATAGTTTCATACTGCGTATTATTAATAGTAATTATAATATTAACTATTCTTTTGCTTTTGCTCATTATTACTATATTAAAAGACTAATTCATATTTTTGAAGTATTTATTTGATCTATGAATCATACTATTACTTTATAAACATGTTTATAATTTTTTTATATGGTGTTAGTGAGATGAAAATCACGACTTCTAGAGATTGGGTAATAATGAACTTTTAATGAGCACCAGACCTATTCTGTTGAGCATACTGAATATACAAATTGATATTTAAGCATACTCGAGATTTTAAATGAGCTTTTAAATTTTTTCTATGCTCATTTCGTAAATTAGATATGCTCATTTGATATTGGTGTAATGCTCATTTTAAAATGAGCATTACACGAGACAACTTAAATGTCATATCCATGCATATTGGCGTAATGCTCATTTTGAACTTTTTGATACTCATTTCACGTTTTATATATTCACATTTAATATTTGAGCATCAAACATCCGCTATTGAGATGAAATTCACGGTTTCTAGTGAATGAGCAATAATAAACGTTTAATGAGCATCATACCCATTCTGTTGAGTATTAGGAGTCTAATATTGAGAATTTTGACCTCCGCTTCATAACTTCTAATTCACTTTCTTTTTGTTATTTTTTCTTTTATAAAATTTTATTAAATTATATTTATAATCAACTCCTGTGAATTTCATTATGTGAATTAATGTAAAATAGTACTTTAAAAAATGCATCGATATGACATTTAGAAAATGAGCATAAAATCTCTACCAGATGAGCATACGTAACTTACAAAATGAGTATTAATGAATTTGTTAGCTGCTTTGTTATTTGAACATCACGACATTTTCATTGAGTATCAAACATCCTCTATTGAGATTGATGATAATCACAATTTCTGTAAAATGAGCATTAATGACTTCTTAATGAGGATTCGACCTATACAAATGAGCATGCGTAACTTACAAGATGAGCATCGATATGAACATTGTAAATTTTTCGTTGAACATTTTACACTCGCATTGATATGCCATTTTACATCTTAACATAAAATTAGTACCAAATGAACATGTGTAGCTACACAATGCGCATTGATAAAAAATCGTGTTAATTGGACATCACTATATTTTCATTGAACATCAAACCTCCTATATTGAGATGAAAATAATGATTTGTATTAAATGAGCATTAATGAATTTTTAATGAGCATCAGACCTATACAAATGAGCATATGTAACTTACAAGATGAGCATTGATATGGAAAATATAAGTTTTATTCGTTGAGCATCAAGACATTTTCAATGAGCATCAAACCCCCGTTATTGAGTATTAGAATCTGCGATTGAGTATCATGATTTGTGGTCTCGTGTCTATAATCAACTCTTATATAAATCTAATAATGTAATATGAGACTTTTGAAATGAGCATTGCTAAAACATTTTAAAAATGAGCACAACAGATATACTAAATGAGTATACAACATTTACAAAATGAGTATTCAAAAATTCAAAAGCTCATTTATGTATGTTCATTTTTAGACGTTTTACTCATTTGAGTTTAAGGTAAAACTCATTTCTAATTTGCTTAGTATAATGTATAAAAAAGAACTAAACAACAAAAGAAACGAAAAGAAACAAAAAAGTAAAAAACAACCCTAAAACGTAACAATCAAAATGGATGGCGGCAGAAAATAGAAACGAAAGGAAAGAGGATGGCGGAAGAAAAGAAAGGAAAGAGGATGGGGGAAGAAAAGAAAGGAAAGAGAACACAGGAAGAAAAGAAAGAAAAGAGAACGGCTGAAGAAGAGAAAGAAAAGACAAATGGCTGCCACGTCATTTAAAAACCGGGTGTACATACACCCGGATGTATAGTATAATCTGCGATATAGGGGTGAACAAAAAATAGACAAACTGAAATCGATTGACAAGAACTGACCGTTGAAAATCAAAACCGACCAAAAGGACTAATTTGTAAGGTATTTGGTTTACGGTTTATATTGTTGGGTTAAAAAATCGGCCAAACCAAAATTGAATGACAAAGTCACAAAACCCGATCAAATCAAGCTAAAGTTGACCGAAACCAATACAAATTTTTGGTTTGTAATTTTTTTGTCATTTCAGCTGTTCTAAAAATCGCTAAAACCGACCGACTAAAAACCGAACTAATAAAATTGAAGCCAATGAAACCGAACCAATGAACACCCCTTCATTCACATATATTTTGAGAATTACATCCCGTGCAACGCACGGATGAGATACTACTATAACAAGCATTTCAGGTATAATTGAAAGCTCCAGAGAGGTGAAGCCATAGTCAAGATCCTATAAACTATAAAGAAACTCAAAATCCTTTTGTATTTTTTTTATACTTTCTGTTCTCAGTGTAAGGTATAGACTTCTCATGATGCAGACGATCAAGTACAGCATGACAGAATTTTTTTTTATATCTATACTGTAATATGCTAGTAAATTCCTCACCAGATTCGACGCCTCTTACCATACCAATAGGCAAAGGCAGCCATAGATGCAGCTAATATAACACCAGTCGCTGTTTGCCAAAGATATACCGGCTTTTCTATAAGCAAAGAAGAATCACCAGCATTGAGAGGTGGTGAACAAAGTGGTGTGCGACTCAATGACAAGGCAAATCCCAGCCCTTGCCTTTCGAGTTCAGCCAAGTCTTCTATTGCGGGTCTCAGCTGTGTGGCCTTGGATATAGCTTCATACTCCTCCTTGGTTCCACCTTCCAGAAATGATCCAATAAGATGGCCCATGTTTACCCAGTATGCCCCAAACCTCTGTCCTGAATAATCGCCAAAATGGACCACCTCTCCCATATTGTCTCCATAGAATTGCCAAGAGAGAGTGAAGACTCTGGAATAGAAAAATGGCAGGTAATCAAAATCTGTTGTGTTTTCAGGATCCAGGATTGCATTGACAGCATGCCTAGCGGATTTCCGTGCAGAGTCAACATGTTCAAGCCTACGTATTTGCCCTATGATTTTGACCGGAAAGGCAGCAACATCCCCGATAGCATAGACTGAGCTATTGCTTGATTGCATTCTCCCATTTACTTTAATCCCCCCTTTCTCCATGGTCAGTTGGCCTTCAAACAGGCTTGTATTTGGGCGGATCCCTATCCCAACCACAACCATATCAGCAGGAAGTTTAGTGTCATCTCGAAGATTAACTGCAGTGACCTGCATCAGGACAAGGAAACACGTACTTACATTATATTACAAAATGATGCCAGATATATGACAACAAGATAATGGGCAAAATTGTGACTTTTAATGCGCACAAATTAAGTGGTATTTTCAGAGTGACTCTGATGACCACAGTGATGTACAGTTACTATTGTAATATTTTCGTAGAGAATAAAGTGACCATGTTATATTATTGTCCAATAATATTACAGGACACACCAATAATATTACTCATATTTTAATAAGGAAAACAATATCTTGCTATAAGTAATTTACCTTTCCATCATCGTCAAAATCAAATGATGTCAAGACAGTTCCTTTGGTGAACTTCACTCCTTTGGACTTGTAAAATTCTTCATAGTAGTGTGCAATCTTTGCATTGAAAAGCCGGCCCACTAAACAAAAGGAAGGATAAAAAATCAGGTGTGCACGAAAAAGAAAGAAAGCGAGTATTAAGAATTATGGGATTAAACATAGAACTGAACTTTTATTGCCGATAGCAATCCATCGACCATCACAGAGAGAAATAAATCAACTAATTAACTGAAAGAGCATTAGAGGAATATAACGATAGCCTGCAAAAAAATTCCAGAAGACTCTGGGCCAAAGAAGCGTGGCAAACAGAAGCCCGTTATTTTCCTCAATTTTTTTTTTTGCCAGGAAACTTCCCATTTCTTAAAAGTGCATTGTATGTCAACTTACCTCAAAGAACCTTAATAAACTTTCCAGATTTTAATTGCTTATTGAATGTTAATTACAAGACATGCAACATATGACAGTTTAGAAACAAATGTGGGCATGACCAAGTTTCTATCTGCTGTTCGAACACTAGTAAGCTCCATCATCATTATCATTACCCCAGTGCCGCAAAGGCTCCCAAGTCCCACCTACGGTGGGGTAAGGGGGGTCGGATGTACGCAGTCTTACCCCTATACTAAAGAAATTAAAGAAATTAATTCTTTAAATTGATTTACTACAGTTTCGAACACTTGTAAGCTAATTAAAGAAATTAAATAGGGTGGTTATGACTTACTACAATGAGCTTCCGGGAAGACCATAGTAACATTAATTCTATTTATCACTAAAGATGCAGCACATTCCATTCCAATGTAGCCACCACCAATGACAACAGCAGTTTTACCAGAGCATGATTCAATAACATTTACAAGCCTGTTTGCATCATCCAGATCTCGCAGATAACAAACATTCTCAGCATCTGATCCTATCACTCCAAACTCTTCAAGTTTCAAAGCCTAAATTCAGTCCATGACAATCTAAAGCAGTCAGATCAAATTATGCATGTTTGACATTTCAAAAAGAAATGAACCATACTACCATAGTACTCAAATTTGGTTTTTGATTGGGGGGGGGGGGGGGGGGGGGAGTTCTAAGCAAGTTCATTGATCTTTCATTCCAAAACTCTCGCAACAAGAAGTCAGTATTTGGTGTAATGCAAATAAAGATTTCCACTTACATCAACTATTTTGTATTATAGATCTTAGTAACTGTAACATTATAGTTACTGAATAGAAATCATCTTAAAAAACCAGTCAAAGACAGTGATGTGGTTAGTGACAACAAATCTTAACAGTAGTGGCCCAGGCATATATGTAGTTATGTATTACACAGAATGCAGGTGCATCATGTTGCAAAACTACACATCAATATCCTGGGGTTGAAGAAACCAATTACGGAAGTGCCATAATTATTTAAGTACCCGGGCACCAGTTGCGACAATAAGAATCTTGTATGTTATAGTCTCGCCAGTTGCAGTCAATAATGTTTTTCGCTTCACATCAGCTGACTTTACCCGTGTTCCAAGAACCAATTCAACACCTAAACACAAGAAAGCAATCAAATAACGGTTAAGGTAAACGGAAAACGTAACTACGTAAGTTTCCCAACCATCCTTAATGTCTCAATAAATTAGTAATCAGTAATTGACTAAGTGTCCATGATGCATATGGAAACAGATATTACCATGTTCTTTGTACCACTTTGGTGTTAACCTCTCCTCATTAGTACCTACACAACAGTGAAAAGCTGGAATGCGTGCTGGAGCTGCATGTAGCAAAAAGTAAAATTGAAAACGATGATAAAAGGCAAATATGAAGTTTGATAGGACTTACATGGGATGATAAAAAAGGATTACTTCATGTCAGATATGAGGACATGCCAAGTAATAAAATCACATAATTAATAAGAAAATATAGATATAGCATCCAGTGGCAAAACTATAATGAAAGTTATGTAACTAAGAAGACTACCTTCTGGGAGTAGATACCCTTTGCTCAATGCAGGCCTTTCATATGGTGCAACCTGAAAAATACAGCAGAATTACAACATACTCCTGAAGTTTGGAGAAAAGGGAAACTGGAAAGCCAAACAAAGAATAAAGCAATTGAATAATGCCGACGAATTAGTCATTGTGCTGAGTTTTCATTCCTTCCACCACACATCACATGGAAATCTATAGTTTTTCTAAAGCAGCAATATGCCTACATTGTAAAATGTAAATAACAGAATGCCCTATGAGAATAAATCCAAAAAAGAAAGAGCAGAGACCAAGAGGGAAGTCTTTTTGTAAGGCATCTCACTTTCACAGCAACCGAGTATGCACTCACTTAAGAGTTGAAAGTTTATAAGATGCATAAACACCTAACAAATTAAAACGTGTGATAGGGACCAGACAATTCAAGCATATTAAGTAAGGAAATTCGGAGAAAATATCAGAATTCCTGAAGCAGATACAATGGCATAAACCGTAGCTTAGCGTACAAGAAAGAGAAGAAACAGAAACGGAAAATACAAGTGAGACACTTCGAGCAGTCTCTCTCTCCCAGTTCCCAACCCAATCCCCAGTTCTGCCTACCCCCTGTTTCCCTTACCTGCGCTTATTGTAATAATACTCTCCTAATGGGCCAACCATCATCCACTAAGTTACTGGGCCTAGAGCCCTCTTATTGTCAATATTGAACTGCTTAGTATTATTCTTATTAGGAGGAGTGTTCGGGTCCCTATCATCACCCCCCTTTAATTATCACCTTGTGCTCAAGGTGAGTAGTAAGAAACTGATCTGGCATTTAGTTTCAGCAGGTTATCTGCTACATCCTGTTCAGACTGCTGATCACATGTTCTATTCTCTTCTTCTGGCTCTTCCATCAAGACAAATTGATAATGTTTCATTCCACAAACATGCTCTTTGCTTCATTTGTTTCCACATTTGAAGCATAGGCCCTTTTGACTTCTTTCTTCTAATTCTGCTTGTGTCAACCTTTGGCCTCCCTCCCATGTCTTATCGGTTTTAGTGATTCCTCCAGTTTGTTCTCTGAATGTGTTCTCTCAGGAGTCTGTTACCGAATAGCAGGTGTTCTTCCCTTCGCTGCTTCCACCCAGTTCAATTGCCTGACCATAGTCCCTCCCTTTTCTTTCCAGCCTTTTCTTGTCTTCTTCCTTATGTATCCCTGATCTCATAGCAGTGTTTTCTCTTCTAACAGCAGAGCTCGATCCATTAATTCAGATAGACAAGCGGATGGATAAAGCTTCAGCTCAGCTCTCACCTCATCCTTCAATCCGTTCAGAAAAATTCCATGCAGCATCTCTGTATCAGTGTGCCTCAGTGGTGCGAGTACCAGTTCAAATCTCTCCCTACAATCCATTACGCTTCTAGTTTGCTTAACGCTGAGCATTGGTCCAAACGGATTTTGAACTAATTGCGCTTGGAACCTTCTGGTTAAGGCTGCTTTGAACTGTTCCTAGGTCCGTTCATCATTTTGTCCCTCCCACAATTGGTACCAGTTTAAAGCTTTGTCCTCCATGGAAATGGTTATCACCTCAACCTTATCTTCTTCTGGTATGTTATTCAACTTGAAAAACCTTTCTACCCTGATGGTCCACCGTCCACCCATCAGCATCCTCGCCATTAAATAACGTAAGATCAATCTTCCTTCCAGTTCTAACGAACATTCTGTTCACACTGGTTTCACGCCAAAAGAGGTGGATCACGAGGTATCAGATTTACCTCTGGAATTCAACGAAGCCTGGCTCTCTTCACGTTGTCGCCATCTCAGAGTCCTTGATTCCTCTCGTGATAGGTAAGAGCTTTGGTTATTATGTGGTTGTCATTTTGACGTCTTCAATCGTCCCCTTGAACGATGGTTATTCTTATGCAGCAAGAAATTGCGCAGCTCATCCATTCGGCGATCCTGGTTCAGCATCGAGTTTCGCATCTCATCCACAACGTTGCGCAACTCCTGAACACTGTTCTCCACCGTCACCACTCTGTTCTCCATTCTTGCTCGTGTCTAGGTCATCCACAATATTACAGGCTTGTCTGCTCTGATACCAAATGATAGGGACCAGACAATTCGAGTATGTTAAGTAAGGAAATTCAGAGAAAATCTCAGAATTCCTGAAGCAAATACAATGGCATAAACCGTAGCTTAGCGTACAAGAAAGAGAAGAAACAGAAACGGAAAATACAAGTGAGACAGCAGTCTCTCTCACCCAGTTCCCAGCCCAATCCCCAGTTCTACCTACTCCCTTTTTCCCTTACCTGCGCTTATTATAATACTCTCCTAATGAGCCGGCCCTCATCCACTAAGTTACTAGGCCTACTGCCTACAACCCTCTTATAATACAATATTATACTACTTAATATCAAGGTAGTCAAACTCGAGATCCTACGCAGGATCGGAATTTGGAATAAGGATCGTAAATCGTAGGATCGTGACTCGGATCGTAAGATCCTACAAATTATATACTTACATATACATACACATATATATATGTGTATATATATGTACATATGTATACATATAGTTAGAAAATAAATATAATTGATAAATAATGATCAAAGTAATATGTAATGATCAAATAAATTGATATATAATGATCAAATAAATTATACTCCGTAACACCTAACTACCTAGCAGATAACAATTTAAAGTAATATGTTCTTAAATAAATTATAATAATGTGTATTATATAGTAATTTAAGAAAGAAAAAAATACTAGTACATAAATTAAAGTATTGAATATATATAATTAATTTATATGATTATATACTAACTCACCTGCGCTTGAGAGTTGAGAAACGAAATAAGACAATTCGAGTCTTCTTCTTCAGCAGAGTGAACACTCGCACTTTTCGTTGACAACGCAGAACTGGGAGATGGATGGCTGCCGCCTGCCTTCGAGTCTTCCACAAAGAGCTGGAGCCGTGGAGGTCGCCGAGTGACCCAGTCGGACCTGAGAGTGGAGTTCGCCGGGAAGAGTTTGGTTGCAGAGAAGTACAGAGCAAGGGATTGGAAGAAGGTGATGCTTGAATGATTGAACCATTGCTGAACACTTAATTTATAGATGCTTTTGCACGCAATTTGAAGCGACAGAGATCTCTTTTAAAATTTTCGAACGTTTTCCATCGATTCCAGATGGTTCGCACCCTCTCTGTTGACGTTTCGGGTGGCCTGAATTTTTTTCGTTTTTCTTCAAAGGCTGCAAACGGATCGCCGATTCTATGCGAGCCTACGAGTTTACGATCTGAATCGGCGATTCAGCCGTTCCCACATTTTTTACGATTTTCTCTAGGAACGGGATCGCTGATTGAGTATTGACGCGTAAACTCGTACGATCCTACGAGTAGAATCGCGATTTTGACTACCTTGCTTAATATTATTCTTTTTAGGAAGAGTGTCTGGGTCCCTATCAATGTGCCTCCCAAATCACTTACTGTTGGCCTAATGCACCAACTAACTAGCCTTCAAATAACAATTTGCAGCTGAAACAATGACTGTGAACCCCTTCTCCTTAATAATACACTAATACATCTAACCAGAATCTAACATAAGAACCATATGTTTGTTTCAACAATTCAAAATCCAATAACTTCAACAGCGAAACTACAGATCACGCATGCACAGCTATTCAATCAAAAGCCTTAGCCACAAATATGGCCAGAACATCCATTCAGTCGGGCGAGGCAGATATGAACCCAAAAGCATGTGTAAAATGAAAATTAGCTTAATTAACAATAACACATAGAATGATTTTCAAAATATTACTAAAAACAAAAGAGTTGCATACAGTTTCTTCAGAGAGGACACACAGTTCACCAGGAGAGACTCCTTTCTTCACAAATTCATGTACAGCATATCCAGCTGCCACTCCTCCGCCGACTATCACGTACACAAACGCCCTTCCCATTTCGATTAATAGTAATGAATTGTTTGAGTAACTGCCAAATATCACTTACACACTACCATCCACAACTCAGCAAGCTCCTCCCGCTCTTTCTGTCACTGCAAACACGGAAGGATCAATCGACTGATTATTTTGACCATCCATCCCCTGTTTATTGAAATTTATTTTAAAATTTGAAATAATTGGATGAGGTCAATTAATATGCTAACTTTTCTTTGAATAGACTACCTTACACTTTCCTTCAAGCAGAAGGCATGTACCCAAACTTCTTTTAGATCTTATATGGATTCGCTGAAGCCTTTCAAGAACTTATTAGTTATTAGTCAAGGAAAATACTCATAATAAGACTTTTGACTAGTTTCCCATCCCTCAAAGTAGACTTCTTTTATTAATATTTTCTAGGATGAGCTCTAAAAAAATGGAGAGCTCAAACAAGAGAATATTAATAGAAAATAAGACCACAAGAAAAACGAAACTGTGTGAGTTTATTCATCATTATCTCCAAAGTGAGTAAGAACTGCGACATAATAGATAAATTTTAAGGATTGTGCTAATCATGCGTTAACAAATAATGAAGTTAATAAATTTGTTGAACATTAAAGATTAGCACAATCCACTATGACTAAGGGAGTGTTTGCAAAGGCTTAAAAAGGCACTTTTCTGCTTTTTGCTTCAATTTTTTGAAAAGTGACAGCTTCTACTTAAATCAAGCAATTTAAAGCTAAAAGCTTGGAGCAGACGGAGGAGTGCTTTAAACTTCTTTTAACTTTTTCTATTACAAAAAAGAACTTTTTCACCTAACACTATCAAGTTATACTTTTCCAAAATCACTTTTTCACAAACACTATCAACTTTTACCTATCAAGCATATTCTCTAAAATCACTTTAAAACCCCAATTTTTAATGTAAAAGAACCCGCATGATTCTATAAATCTCACAAACTTATTTTCACAAAAATAATTTTCTTAAAACTTCTCTAAAAAGCTTTCTCAAAATATACTTTTTGACACTCTGAAACAAACAAGTCTTTTGTTACAAGACTTCTACAACCCGCCTTCTCCGGGTTAGAGCATAATATTTTTTAGTGTTCGAGTCACTAGCCTTTTTATTTTAGCCTACAACTCATCCAGCCTTCTAGTCACATCAATCATATCAAATTATCAAACTTTTCATTTTTATCAAAGTTACATATGCTGGATTTATTACTCAATTTTTGAAACAATTCAAGAACCACCGCAGGTAAATTATATCATGGGTGAATGGTGATTGAAAATTGAGATCCTTTATACTCCATACCAATTAAACTCCTGATTGATTCGACATATCAACTCATACAAATTTGATCTCTCAAGGGCCAAGGCTTTGAGCTACTTCTAAAACTTGTTTGGTATTGATTTATCAAATCCTAACACCAATCAAAACATCAAATGATTAATATTCTTTATTTTATTATATTTTGACTTGTGCTATATCTTTCTGAAAAATCTCCGGTAGGACGCTTGTACTCTTCTGTTTACACCAAAATCAAATTTTATTATCTTGTTGCATGAGCAATATAATACTATGGAGAACATTTTGAATCAGTTTGTATACATTTTATCTTCTCATGTATTGCTTCATATTCATAATGATGTATAGAATTTTCTACACATCACAATAACATATAATTAAAAAATATTCTTGTGAGTTGGAGATTCAAAAGAATTAGTTTCTATCTTTTTATTGTATAATTTTTAACCCATTGTAAGCCATCATCAAGGCCGTCTTCAGAAAGGTGGAGGCCCTAGGCCAAAAAATTTAGCCAATGGTGATAAAGTTAATATTGATACCATCACATTAGTTAAGAAATTACTTCAATAATTCTTAGCCACTGGTCACTTGTCCTGCTAAAATTACTTTATACACACTGCATCTGTGACTACAGAACTACTATTTTACAAAATAAAATCAATTCTGTTCAAATTGGCCTCCCCGGAGTGTCATTCTGCCAATATAGGAATAACCAACATTAACCCTTTAAGGCCCTAAATTTGACACAATGTCAAGTCCATACCCCTTAAGAATGAAGGGGTTAAGCTACAAAAACTAGGAAAATACCGTCTGTCGAGACTTGGAGAGGGATTGAGGATTTGAGGTAATCAGGGAATTACCGTTTCGGAAGCGGGGCAAAAGACAGAACCGAGATGCTGGTCGGCGGTCGCCCGGTGCACTGGGGCCTAGTCTCAACTCTCTACTAAGTCTCAATCGGAAATTCAGAAGGTAAAGTTTTCTTCACTAGTCGTCTTTGTGCTCGACGCTGGTTCTGTCTGGCTGCTTCGTTTAGGAGAATTGGGAACGGAGCTGAGACTTTGCCATTTCCAAATTATTATTGTTGAAATTAACAGGAAAATTTTATGGTACATTCGTACGTAACTGGATGGTTTCAGTGTCTTCCCAGATGTCAAAACCTTATTGACAATCTTTTCCATGTGGGATTTGATTTCTAAAATTGAGGAGAATTAAAATATGTCCACTTCCTCTTTTTCAAGCCAAATTGACGAACAAATTTAGAACTTAGGTCATCTCCAACAATAACCAAAACTCTAACCAAAATAGGGGAATTGCTATTTTTTGCTCCAATAGTTGCACCAAATCCTACCCCATTTCACTAAAATGGTGGAGGGCATGATAGTTTACGCCATATTTGGTGCAAAGGTGGGATGCGCCATCTTCCATTCTATTTTTTTTTTTCTTTTTACAAAAATACCCAAAGTTTTGGTTGTTATAGTTTTGATCCATTTTTAGAACAGCAAATTTAAATTGTAAATTTGATATAATAAAATCACACAATTTTATAAATAAAATTTCAAATCGAATTATTGTAATATTTAATTTTATTTGATTTTAGCTTGTATTTGTGAAATATTGATTATTGTATTTTAATGCGTGAAATATTGATTATAGTAGTATTTCAGCTTGTATTCGTGAAATAATGAGTGAAATGCCAAAATACATATTAAATGAGAGGCTAATGTATAAATGTATGATAATTAGATAATTAAATATAATAATGGTAAAAAGTTTGTAAAAAGAATAAAAAAGGAATATTCGTTTCTAGTGATAAAAATGGTGCAAACTGTTAGAGATAAAGTAAGGTATGATATGATATTTACACCACTTTAGTGCAAAAAATGGTGCAAACTGTTGGAAATGACCTGAGAAGTCCTTGATATTCTTAAATGATTTGAATTTTTGTTGTCTCATCTGATCTTGTAAATATTTCCTCCGTTCTTTTAAGTTGCAACAGTCAACATTTCACACTTACCAACGCACGTCTTTGACCGTAATTATATCTTAATCTCTATTACTAAAAAAATTTAAAAAACCGATTTTGAAAATTTGTAATGCGTTGAATTGAAAAATATTTTTTATAAAAATAATAACGTAAAATATAGTCAAAGTAGAGCATGTGAATAATGTAAAATTCAACATGTTGCGATTAAAAAGAAACGGAGGATAGTATATTATTTCTATGTATTTTATAATTGTCAAAGTAAGGTATGATCAGATCGAGTCTGATTTGATCTAGTTTGGGACAAAAACCAATCCACATAAAAACATCTAAGCTTCAAAAGGATTACATATCATCTCTTACTAGTTGGATTCATTTAGTTATAAACAATTTATGAGTATCTCGATTTATAAGGTACATTAAATAAGGGTGTTTGAGATTTATTTTGCTTCTAGTTCTAGTTTAAAAGCAGTCGTAGAACTGAAACTACTTTTTCAGAAGCTGGTGTCGCCTAACATCTAAAAAATTGCTTTTAGGATAAATTTGGAGCACTTAGAAGTATTTCTACAATTTCATCCAAACAATTAAATATCACCTTATACTCCCTAAATGAGTAGAAGTAATTTTAAGAAGTAATTCCAAACACTTGAATATGAAAGGCTCAGAATCAAAAGTAAAGGAGTCTATAATTTAAGTCTATAATTTTCGTGTGTGCCTGAGACTTTATTACATGCACTACACGTGTACACCTTATCACATAATATGTACTACCATGATTCAGAAAATGTTTGGCATTTTTCTAAATAGATTCGGCTTTAATTTCCATTTGTACGTAGTGTGGATCACTCGACTATAATTGGGCACCGCTATGTGCACCGCTATGAACCATAATATGTATCATGATCATTCTTATCTCTCACAGTAAGAAGTGTTATCATCGGAATCGGGCCTTATATATGTGTGAATATATAGAAAATGAGTTAGCCACGATAACGATTCTTGATCAGTGAAATCCACATCGATCTTAAGATGCGTTTTTTAATTAAAGAGCGGATAGGTTTTATGACAAGAAAAGATATCCATCACCACATCCTAATGGCAAAGGAACTCCATCACCTTGACAAAAAGATAAGGGTTGGCAACATAACAATTAAACTGGACCTTGCCCAAGCAAGCATTTTGTCGGATTTTGTGGGGAGTCTTGGAGGCACCCCTAACCAAACTTAAGTTCGATGAGTAGATTGTACACCTGATCATGCGCAATTTCGCCTCCACCCACTTATCCATCTTGGTCAGTGGTCAACCTCGTGTCTTCTTTAAGCCTCATATGGGTGGTCAAGCAAGGAGACCCCTTTTCGCCCTACATATTACCTATGATAATTGAATATTTTACTAAAGGGATTATGTTTCCTTTTACAAAACAATAAATTAAAACTCTATCCAATAGGTAACTTTTCTCTACACATCTCATAGTTGGCTTATGCTGACGACGTCTTAATCATCCTGAACAGCTCTCTTCACCCCTCCATGAGTAACTACACTTCCTTAACAACTTCATAGATAGATGCCGCCGTCGAGTCACTAAAGCTGAACAAATGCAACATTCTCGTTAGCAACAGGGCCGGTCTTGTCGATTTTCGGGCCTATGGGCGAGATATTATTGGGCCTATGTTCAAGACAAAAACTAATCTCTAAAAATCGATCAACGAAACAGGACACACTAAAAGTTATTCTCTTCACTTAAATCACAATTATCTGGCTCAATTTCACCATTTGCGGCTTCTGCACCTATATCACTATTTCCAAGCATGTTATGGTTTTCACTCACAAAAGAATTTAGCGGCGATTCAACTTGAGAAGAATTTTCAGGAATCAATTTCTCAACAAAAACAAAATTTTTCATTGTCCCCGTCTTATTTAAGGCTGCCTTTTCTAATCTTTGTCTCTTTCTCTTTTTCCCAACTAGATTCACCCATTTTATCAAACACCTTCACAATAGTAAAACAAAATAAAGGATTCAATTCAAAATTGCACAATCCCAAACAAATATGAATTTACCAAGACACCAAAAATGCAACATATACAAATCATTAATCATAATTCATAAATCAAAAGAACATTTAGTGGATTTATTATTCATAGCTAATGTAGATTGGGAATAATTTACTGGCCGTTGTCGGATTGTTTGAAGCCTTGACAGAAGAAGGTGTTCTAATCGTCGGCCGCTTTTTGGGCTCCTCACCGCTGACCGCTTTGGCTAATGGTGATTTGCAGGCTTGCGGCGCTCTCTAATGTCTACTCTTGTGCAAGATGACCAAGACCTTATTAAACCGTAGTCCTTTAGTTCATTAGATAATTGAGTTTAATTGGAACTTGGAAACCACCGTCTAGGAAATTGTTGGGTTAATGGCCCAAGCCGAGGTCCGGCCCATTAACCCCTTTTTACCAGACGCACGTCCAGTTAGAACACAAGGCTAGCCGCAGGCCCATGTTCCTTGGGGAGGGACGAACGTCTGGAATTGGGGGTTTAGGCTCAACGGCCCATCTCGACGAACGTCTATGCAGGGACAAGGAGCAGGACCACGGACCATCAGGGGTGACGACGAACGTCTCCAGAGCAAGCCTATAGTCATCGGAGGAAATCCAGTCCACATGGTGAGAATCCATTAAGGCCGGGAGACGAACAACCGAAACCTCTTGAGGGTCACTTGGAGCGATCCAGCTCGCTTCCCGGGCGGACGAACGTCCCCACTATTTAGGCGGGTAACCTAGATTCTGGTGGGAAGTGCATTTAATGCTGAAGATTTGGTGGTTGGGACACCAACGGTCCACAGGCTTCCACGTCAGCATAGCCACCTGCCCATTGGTGGGTATAAATAGAAGCATTTATTTCATTGTAAAGGGTTGGCAACTTTCTATTCTTAGCACTCTAGCTTTAACATTCTTACTCGCAGCACTTCTACTGCCTTGTAAGACGAACGGCTGACGGAGCCTTAGCGAAAAGTATTGTATTAGGGAGTTATTAAGAGATAATAATACCTAACCACTTACTTGCTACCTTCTTGTTCTCTTTAATCCACACCATCTGCTTGTTGGGCTAGTTTATTCACACACACTCCATTCGAAATCCTTAGGCTTACGTGTTGGACCCGAGGGTTGAAGGAATAAACCTCAACACTGGCGCCGTCTGTGGGAAGCTGAACTAAAAGTTTCCAAAACTCTCCCAAACAGCTACTAGATCTACCCACAACAAGCAAGATGACAAGGAACAACCGACAACGTGACCTCTCCGAGCAGCTGTCCCGCGGGCGAAGCAACCGCGGGCAAACCACGGAACGCTCCGAAACGTTGGAAACTGCCGGGGGTGAAGGTGGCCTCACCAACCTCATCCCCCACGAAGCCAGACGCGACCCCCGACTCATGAGGGAGTTGGCGGAAACAATGCGCCGAATGGCGGATGAACAGGAGACGGAAGAGGAGGTGTATTCAGCTAACACCATCTGGACGCCCATCTCACCCATCCATCACATGCAGTCCCTGGATGAGACAGCGGAGTCTGCCGGGCGTCGGACGCCCATACACATGAGGTTGGGCCAAAATCCATCCTCCCACGGTGCTGGGGGGCTCACCGGCGTCAGCACCCCCGTTATGGTTGGCAGGATGATCATCGGGGGCGCACGCCGGATGTTCCCTCAGGACAGCAGGGCACCGCCATCACCCCCGCCGCCAGTAACATTGGACGACATTTCCAAAGGCGTGGTGCCCATATCACACGAAGGCAACCCGACGCGGTTGCCCCACGAAGGAACGTTGCCCTCGAGGCCGCCCCTCCTGTGTCCCCCGAAAGGGCCGCACAGGAGGCCCGGCTAGAGGCAATGGAGCGGCGAATAGCCGAGATGGACAGACGGGCGGAGGCCGTCCCAGCCACGCCTCGTTTCTCCCTCACTTCACCTTTCACTCCGAGGGTCATGAATGCAGAGATCCCGCGAGACTGCAGGCCCCCCCAAGGGATAGTATACAACGGGACCGGAGATCCCAAGGCTCACTTGATCAGCTTCCAGGGGAACCTTTCCATGCTGGGAGCGTCCGATGAGGCTATCTGCCGGCTCTTCTTCAGCACCCTGAGGGGACCGG